GTAGAGAAAAATTACATGGTAGACACTCTGAGTAGGAGAAGCATAGTGTAATTCTTTGTCTCTTCTAAAATTCGGCAGCCATTTGGAGGGTAAACGTTAATAATAAAATAATTCAGGACAATGCCAATATTGTACCGGCCCGCGAGCCCTTCCTCACTGACGTCTCCTGCTCACCCTCCACAGGCAGCTGCTCAGGGCGCGCCCAGCACCAGGGGTCCCATGGGTGTCGGATGAAGCCCCGTGGCCCTTCCTTGAGGGGCCTCCTGCCCACGGTCTGGTTCCTGCCCGCCTCCCGGGGGCGAAGACCCGCGAGGATTCGCATGGCCACTGGCCACGCCCTGGGAGCCCTGGGGGGTGCGGACCGCTGCAGCCTTGCCCTCGGGTGGGGCTGGCGAGGATGTGGCCGGCTCAGAGCTATTTTTAGGGTCTCTCTTTGTGAAAAGTGTTCCTTGATCCGCTGAGGGAGAGAACAGCCAATCCCGTCATCCCTGCCTTTGTCCCGCGCTCAGACAGAGCTGTCATCAGACACGGCTTCCACTCCAGAAAGAAATCTAGTTCATTAGACCTGGGGCCAGCGCCCCGAGTTCCTCATCCCTCTGCCTGCTGGCGAGCACTGACCACGCCCCTGCTGGGTGCCCAGCCCCAAGATTCACCAGGGGCCCCCACGAGCCCCGGAGGCGGGGGCACAGGTTCCAGGGGCCGCAGCCCAAGCCCCACCCTAGCGCACAAGTGAGGATTCAAACGGAAGCACCTTATGCTCCAGGGTCACCCCCCCCCCACAGCTGCAGGAGGACCACAAAACCTGGCAACCCCGGGCCACCCTCCCCGCCACATTCCTGGCTCCCAGGCACCTCCCCGCCCGCCTCCCACAGCCACTGGGCACTCGTCCCATTGCTCCCCCGCCCGTGCTTCCCAGGGATCGATGGGCGGAGGCAGCTCGGGGAGGGCTCCCAGGACAAGCGCGGGCAGGGAAGGTGGGAGTGACAGGCACCCGGCTCCCCCAGGGCGCCCCCAGCTTCTCGTGGGCGACGGCCGGGCACTGCACAGCAGGGCTGCCACGCTATTGGGCGGGAAACCAAAGAGGAGACAGGCCCCAGCTGAGGGTCTGAGTGCACCCAGCTGGTGTGGCTCAGTGGTGAGCATCCGCCTGGGAACTCAGAGGTCACAGTGTGACTCCCGATCAGGGCACAGGCCCGGGTTGTGGGCTCCGTCCAGGAGGACGCGTGCAGGAGGCAGCTGACCCATGATTCGCTCTCATCACGGATGCTTCCATCTCTCTCCCTCTCCTTTCCTCTCTGAAATCAATAAAAAAAAATTTTTTTTAATATATTTATTTTTAAAAAAAGAGCCTGAGCTGAGACCGATCCCCGTGGACCCGGGGTGGGTCTGAAGGCGGAACCGGGCCGGGCCGGCGACTCACGTTGTAGAGGATGTCGGTCCAGCCCTCCATGGTGATGCACTGGAACACCGTCAGGACGGCGAACAGGATGTTGTCGAAGTTGGTGATGCCGAAGTTGGGGCCCTGCCAGTACTCCCGGCACTCGGTGTCGCCCTCGCACAGCCGGGCGGGCGCCTCCTTGCCGCAGGGGAA